AATCTTAACTACATCTGTTGAACAATACTTAACGTACTAAAATGTTGGATATATTTAACCTAATTATCTTAACTACATCTGTTGAACAATACTTAACGTACTAAAATGTTGGATATATTTAACCTAATTATCTTAACTACATCTGTTGAACAATACTTAACGTACTAAAATGTTGGATATATTTAACCTCATTATATTAACTACATCTGTTGAACAATACTTAACATACTAAAATGTTGGATATATTTAACCTAATTAATCTTAACTACATCTGTTGAACAATACTTAACGTACTAAAATGTTGGATATATTTAACCTAATTATCTTAACTACATCTGTTGAACAATACTTAATGTGCTATAATGTTGGATATATTTAACCCTCTTCTTTCAGCTATATATATATATATATTTAATGTTTCATAATGAAGGACATGGCCTTCCTCATTTTCTCAGTTGCATATGTTGAACAAGACTCGGCAAGTTAAACAGTATGGTGTATTTGATCCTATTTCAACTGTCATGTTTCATATAGTGTTCAATGAGCTTTGATGTATTCAGTTGAATATAATTGTAGAAAACATTAATTTTAGATAATAAAATATCATTTAGGAAGCCATCAGATAAGTACAGATAAATTATCAAAAGTAAAAAATGTTTTTAATGAAACATATCATTATGTTATAAATATTAGTTCTAGTTTTAAACATACTTTACTCTTCAAGAAAGGTTTATTTGGCTGTGGTGTTTGTACTTTATAAGTAAGTTTAACATTTCATGAAAGCTATAGAACATGATTTTGTGAATAACACAATAAAATAAATTGTACTGTAGCAGAACAGGCAAGCCAATCCAGACCAGTCAGATGACCTAATTCAACCTGGGAGTTCCCTGGAAAGTGTTGGTAGTCGGAGTGACTGCGGGTCAAGATCCAGTAGGTCTTTTCATTTATATGTAGTGTGTGTTTCGCATAAAAACTTCTTTGTTATAAGTATCCATTCTAGTACTGGTGATCTGTCTGTACTACAAAAACGTTTAGCTGTAGAAGTATGTATTCCACATACTTACTAGGCCTTCTCATTTGATAAAACCAAATTACTACATTGTATAAAAGATGTTTTAAAATTTAAATTAATTAATTAGATCTTGGATTGGTCAAGAAAGCTGAAAGTTTGTACTTGAAACAAAACTCAGAGCCATCCTATGAGCCATTATGTCACAGCTAAAAAATAAAGTATTGAACATATGTTGTATAAACTCTGGGTGTTTAAGTCTAAATGGCACCAAAGATGTGCTAATTATTGTGTAATTATATTAGTCTTGATCAAACTTCAACTTTTACACTTGAAGGTATTGGCATAAGAACACTGAAACATGTAGAGTCTTTTTAGGACTGGTTCCTTTTTTAATAATTTATTTCTTGTGCAATTATTTTAACATTTTACTCCATTTAATTGTGCATAAGATAAAAGTTCTAAAGGTATTACAATAGCACTAAAAAAAAACGTGTATGCTAGAACATCAAAAAATTATGGCAATTTAGAAATACCCCCAAACCTGATTGACATCAGACTAAGTGTCTCTATATATGCATCATTAAACTATAACGTAAACAAATAACAAATATCTGTTTTAGCTGGTGTCAGATGAGAGGAAAAAAAAACTTTTGAACTGATTTTTAACTGATGAAACTTAGATTCACATTTTATATATTAATAAGGATATTTCAAGTATGAGAAGATTGTTTTTTTCTTTAATATATTTGGTTAGAACAAGTTATATCATGATATTGTGACAGGTCTTCACAGCTCTGTATCATCAAGCAGTGATTCTAGTTCAGTATCTCCTGCCAATAAGAACACAAGATTCTCCCAGAGTTTTAACCCAAGTCAGCCTGAAGGAGCTCTTGAGACCACTTCCAATCACTTGGCTAAACCTTCGGGTAAGAAAACGTTTTGTTTCCCAATAAAGATTTATGATTAAGTGTTCATAATTTCGTCCTCTTGTTATAGTCGTAGTTTGTAATTTAATTAACTTTCAAAGCCGTATTTTGTTTAGTGGTAGAGTTCTGGATTTGGGAACTAGATTTGAATCTGTGCAATACCATAAAATAAACATTCTCCACAATTTAAACTGTGGGTGCATTATTAGAGTGACGATCAAACCCTTAGTGTGGTTGGTGTTTTTGTCGGCTGCCTGCCTTCCCTCTAGTCACTGGTTCAAAATTAGGGATAATGTTAGTAGTTTTGTCGTAAATATGAAATACAATACAAAGTTATATTTATTATAAATAAATTATTTTGTCAGTGTAAACTAGAAAAAAAAAGCAAGCTTTTATTATAATATTTTTTAAAAGTACAAATTCATGTTATTATGGTTTATTATGTTCTTTCAGAGCCAGCAGATGAATCTTGCATAGCGTTACAAGAGACTACCAGAGAGCCTTTTCAGAAGACACGTCTGGATGGACAGTCTGGTAACGGAGAGAAATTATTGTCATCGTTCTCTGTTGGACAGACTTTACAATCAAATAAAGTCAATGTAAAGGATGGGACCTGTCAGTTCAAATTAGGAAAAGACAGAGTCATTGAAGATGTAGATGGAAAAGACATTCATATTTTAAACAACAGTTCTCTCTCAAATTGTGTATGTAATCAGAATACCTCCTCTGAAGGAAGTTTAAAAAAACAACAAAATGGAAAAGTAAGTATAATGTGTTTCTTTTCTTACTAGACAATTCGGCCGTTGAGATTTTAACTTGTTTTTCTATGTTAAGCCATAAACAATAACTCAGGTTTTCTTTTTTCACGTGTGTGTGTCTGCTTCATGGTCCCTGGAGTTTTGGTTTTGTTTTTCTAGGCTGCAGCCACATGAAATTGATGATCTTGCATGATTTTGTTTGTCAAGTAATTTTGTTCTTAATTGAACCATGATTCAGCCGGTCACACGATGGCTTTTAAAAAACATACAACTTAAAATTGGCAGCTCCATTTTCTGTTTAAAGTTAAAGTCGGTCTTTAAATTGAGAGCGGAAAAAAAAGGGCATTGTTTTTAGTTTATCGTAACATTTTCTCCAGATGTTCATTGATTTTATTTTTTAACACTTTAAGTCATTGATTAATTTTTAAAAAAAATATATATATATTCCTGATATATTTTCTAGGTCCCAGAGGGTTACCAGAATCGGTATTGTCACACTGTTACGGATACTAAACCAAGACCTACAGGCATCTCTAGAGTGTCTTTAGCTTAAACACTTCGAAAGTCATGCAAAGTAAAATATTTAATAATAAGTAATGCAGATTTAAAGTTTACTGAGTAACGAGTGGAATGGCTTGAGAAACAATAACATACCACTGAGATGAGTTTAAGAATGATTAAAACTAATATATTTCCAGGTTTCATACAATCCATGCAACCCTTGGCTTCTTTCTTGTAATAAGAAACTATTTAATTTTAGAATTAGTGGTTTTGAAGTGCTGACGTACCAGAACCGAAATGATACTACTAAGTATTCCCCAATCTACCTGAAAAAAACAAAGTGTATCGAGTTTGAAAGCCTGAAGACGATTTGTCAATAGGGGAGAAACTGTCCTGATAAAGGTTGAACAGGTTTAGCTTTCTTTTTTATGTTAGTTGTTATTTCAAATTGGTGTGTCCATTTTGGATCAGTTTTGCATCTGTTTAGTTTCAGTTTGCTGTATTGGCAAAGCCTCTTCAGGTTTTTTCAAACTTCTACAAACACACACACACACACCATTTGATACTGTAAGTACTTTATTCAGAATTTTGTATATTTTTGTGAATTTCGTCATAATTCTATACAAACATTTGAGCTTGTAGTTTTTCAGAAGCAGTCTTTCTTTAGACTGTGTGAAACCCTGGTTATGGTACATTGTTGTTTCTGAATGTACGTGTACAAGGCTGGTAAGTATGTACAGTAGATTTGAGTAACAAGACCTGTAATGCATTAGATGCTGACGTAGAAAACACGTTATTCGATTCATTACAAGATTGTATTCTGATTGTCAGGTAGAATGCGATTGTGAACTGTGGAAGAAGTAAAAAAAGAGACTGTAATAAAGACAAAATAAGAGATGGTATTAGTATTAAACAATAATAAAATAGTTCTAACATTCTTGAAATAACAAAACACAGAGGAGTTTATTCTTGGCCAAGTCATATGCAAGTTTAATATATGTCAAAGTGATTATGCAAATCGTACATAGTGATTGTTAGACATAAAGATGAAGATAGTATCCGTACTGTTCAAAGGGATATATGAATGTGCTCATAATATATATATGTATGATATGACATTTTCTATATAAAAGATAAGAAAACAGATGTTAATATATTAAAGAAAGATAACAATACAAATAACAACCATGCAGAGACTCATTTGACTGTGACAATGAATCTAGAGGCAACCAGACAGATACTAGATTTACAGTATGTACTGTAGGCATAAGTACTGTGATGAGCACTCACGGAAAAGATCTGTGGAAAACAGAAGAGTTGAACAGAGCACAATTAGCTAATATATTCTATATAAAAAGCAGAGCAGTGAAACTGTCTCATCTCTGGTTACTATGCATAGCACGGAAATTTGACGCCAGAATTGCTTTGTTGTGCAATAAGATATCAAAGATGTACTATAAAAATCACCTAAATAGGAGTTTGTCTAGTCATTTTGTTCCTCATTGTGCTGCAGTTCCTGTAATTATACATATATATATATATATATTCACATTTATTGAGAATCTGAAAACTATTGACTGCTCTAAGTATTTAAACCTTCTTTATCAAATATTTTAACTGGTAAATGGGGTTCTGAAAGAGATATTTTGTTACAAAACACAGTACAAAAAAAAAGATTTTTGTTTCACTTTCAAGAATACAGAATAAAAACTTAAATCTGGAAAAACAATGTAACCTTTCTCCTAACCGGTAGATAATTAAAAACCATGCAGAATTAATCTAGATTTTTGTTATTCTATATCGAAAGGTTGTTTTATTCTTGTGTATAATGTCACCTTATTAAATTTACTGCTTTGTTAATTCCGTCAGCTTAAACTTTTGCAAAATAAAGACATTTTATTCTGATATTTATGCCTTATATATGTATAAATAGTTTAGTTTTTCATTTTATCTTCAGTGTACAAAGGCCACTTGTTAATGTTCACTACTAGAAATATTATTTCACTGTAAAAGGAAAAAAACAATGTATTTTCGGAAGTTTAATTTTTGACTGTCACTAAGTAAAAATGCCATAGCTTTTGTGAGTGAGTATCTCTCTCTCTCTCACTTAGGCCACAAAAGTTTTTATGCTATTATTTACATCTTTTATATAAAAAATTCCCCATTTATTTGTCTACAGGTGAATTCATGTTTTATAGGATACTTTTAACTACTTATTTTTATTTGTTACTCCAGTGAAAGCTGACATTCTAAGAACGCTGGTTTGTGTTTTAGACGGTTACAAAGGTGGTGGTTGGTCAAGGTTAAATGATCTTTCACAATAAAAGTAAGGATATATATTCTTATTGTTGAATGTTGATGTAATTCAAAACTCGGCTGAAAACATAAAGATCCTCCGAAAAAAAACCCTGATGATATATTCTGAAATGAAATTGATCTTTTGATTGCTATAAGAAAATAAAAACTCCCAACAAGATGAGGAATACATTGGGATCACAACCAATACGTAACAAACTTTAATACCTTTTCAAGTTATGTGGGAAATTTTTAAGTTTAAATGATCAGAAAGAAGCTATCTACCAATCGAAGAATCTTCGGCCTTTGAAACTTAAACAGTTTTATTTCTTGCAGCCACAAGAAAAAAAAAATCAAACATAAAGACATGAGGCTTTCTTCGTTATGTATGTTTCAAAGCACTTCTTCTTTAAAACCTGTCCATCTTTTTTATTTCTACTTCATCTAGTGTTAAACAGCTCATTGTGTGTTGCTTAATGTTGTAAATAGGTTGTGAGTAAGAAGGATTACTAGGTTAAGATCTATGTATCCATCTGTCTGTTAAAAATGAATTTTTGTTGAATATGATGAAACCAAAGGAGCCTTGATGTTTTTAATTTTGTTTAAAATTCTATTTTTTTGTTGCTGTCTGTGTAAACTGACAATGTTGGTTGCTGACCTTCATTTACTCCTTTTCAAATTATATATCTTAAGAAATATATGTAGATAGATAAATATATGAACACGTATATCTAAAGCCTGTCCAAAGATGTTGTAATGGAGAAACTTCAATAGGAAGGTATTAGCTACTGACTTAGTGGATGTATATAAAAAAATAATATCCTCTTCACTTCTACTGCAAGTTCTTAAAATGATTGAAACCATTCTGCCTTTTTTTGTTTTTAATGTTTTAAACACGGAGCCATGAGTGAACTGTTATGATTTCTTTTTAATAGGCTATGTGAATGGTAGGATTGTCAAATAAAATGTTTTATTTCAAGTCCTCAGGAATACTTTGTCTAGTTTTATGTTTACAGTGCTAAGATCCAAACACTAATCTGTGTCTTTAAGGCACAAATACAAGTTTGTAAAATACATTTTTTATTAGGAAATAGTATTGAAACATTCTTATTGTTTTACATGTTCTTACTGACAACTGTACAGATAAGTTCAAACAGAGCTAAGCTTCAGGATGAGCAAATGTCACTTATCATATGCATGAACTAAACAGTGCATGTGTAATAGTTCCATTGAAGGTTTAACAGGATCATGGAGATACCGTTTTGATCTGCTAGTGCAGGTGTTCAACAGAGAGTGAGGACATGGAAACAAAGTTGTTTATTGAAGCGAGGGTGTGTACCTTTGTCTCAAAACTTAGCTCTTCAGATTGGCCACATTTCTAAAGACCTGTGCTAACAAACTCGGAGCCAGATGGGTGAAGGTCTTCGGATTGGTCACATTTTTAAAGACCTGTGCTAACAAACTCGGAGCCAGATGGGTGAAGGTCTTCGGATTGGTCACATTTTTAAAGACCTGTGCTAACAAACTCGGAGCCAGATGGGTGAAGGTCTTCGGATTGGTCACATTTTTAAAGACCTGTGCTAACAAACTCGGAGCCAGATG